CCTGCTGGAGGAGCAGGGGGGAGTGAGGTCTGGAACTGCAGCAGCAGGTGCTACCAGGTTCCTGGTCTGTCCCACCCTGGGAATGGTGGGAGTGGGAGGGGGCAGGCTGCCTGCAGCCAGCACCCAGCAGCCTGCTGGCCCCAGGGGGGTGAATAGGGATGGGGGGCTTGGCCACAGACTACCTGGACCTAGGTCTGCCAGGCTGACTTACCGTTGTCCCTGACCCCCTGTGCATGCCTGACCCCCAGTCTGAGGCTGGGCAGCGCTCAGCCCCTGGTACAGAGCACCTTATGCTTGAAATGTTGCAAACTGTTGCAAACATCTTCTGTGTTATGGCTCTACAGGGCCTGTGGGGAGAAGCTTCACTTGGCATCAGGATGTGGCCTCAGGGTCACTGCTACCCACAGCTGAGGACCCTGGACAAGACCCCCCCACTCCTGGACTTCCTGGCCATGGCATCAGAGAACCAGCCAGGAGACAGCACATGTTGTGGGTGGAGGATGTGGCCCACCAGAACAGGTGGCAGGCAGAGGACATTGCACATGAGGAGGCAGGGGACTGGTGCAAGGAGATGTGGGACCAGGAGCACCGGGAGAATGCCATTCTGGCCCAGGCACTGCAGGCCACAGACCATGACCACTGGCCCTAGCGGTTGCCTTCATGCCACCCACTGCCTGGCCCCCAACCCTAGCCCTGCCTGCCCCTTGGCATCCATGCACCCCCCATCCTGCCCTGGGTCCAGTGCCACCCAGCCTCCCCGCCTGGGCCTAGCCCTGCTGCTCACCCCAGCTCCACACAGCAATGGAGCTGGTGCTGACTGCAGCAGGGCCGGGACCACATGCTGGCCCTGCTGGCCCTGGACACTGAGAGTCAGAGGGGGAGCCACATCAGGCACTGTCGCCCCTAGATGAGCCCCACCACTTGCTGCACCTGCTGTGGCATGAGCACCAGTGGAGGAGTGGCCAGAGGCTGGGTTGCTGGCTGCCTGGCTCTGTTCTCTAGCCACCCCTGCCCCAGGGTCCCCCACCCCAAGACAGAATAAAACAGGACCTTGTACAAAGTTTTCATGGGGAAAAAGGTGTTTTATTGTTGGTGAGTGGGAAGGGTGGGCTCTGTTCGTTGGGAAGGGTGGGAGATGGGGGCTGTGTTTGATGTGAGGGAAATAAAAACTTGTTCTTTTGAGACATGTCTGCATTGAGTGTGGTGCTGGGGGTGGGCAGGGAGGGTGGGTGGTGGGTCCATGGGCAGGTGGGCTAGAGCAGGGAGTGCTGAAGGAGGTGGTCAGCCAGTGCCTCCCACACCTGGTGTCCTGGCCCCTGCTGGCAGGTGCACAGTTCTCCTTGGTAGTAGGGGAAGCTGCTGCTGCCACAGGTGATGCTGCTGCTTCCAGGTGTCCTCTGTGAGCTGCACTGTCTCCATCCAGGCTTCATAGAGGAGCTTATCCCAGGTCTTGCAGATGTTATGCAACACACAGGCTTTGATGATGACTTGGGGGAGGTTGTTCTTAGTGAAGTTTGGGCAGGCGGTGAGGATGCGCCAGTATCCCTTGAGGCAGCTGAAGGCACACTCCACCAGGGCTTGGGTCTGGGCCAGGCAGCTCTTGAAGTGGGCCTGGTGGGGGTTCAGGTGGCCAGTGTGGGGCCACTAGGTAGGCAGGGTCCCTGATGAGGAAGGGTGGGATCACCACAGCACCCAGCTGGAGGTCCGGCACCCCAGTGCAAAACGCACACTGTCCACCATGCCCAACAGGCCGGAGTTCTGGAAGACAGGCATCGAGGGCATTGCCCACTCAGCCAGTGCTCACATGCATTAAGTTCCTATGGTGGTCCATGATGGCTTGGAGCACAATGAAGTGAAAGGCCCTCTGGCTGTAGTAGGGGCAGTTCCTTTTGGGCAGACAGGTGATGGGGATGTGGGTCCTGTTGAGGGCCCTGACGCACTGGGGGAATCACAGAGCATGGAACCCCACCACCATCACCAGAGGGTCAGGCACATATAGCACGGTGTCCCCCAGCACATTATGGAGGGTGCTGCACGCCTCCAGGACAGCCTCTCCTCTGGTGGCCTTGCGCATGCCAAATAGGTGGCCAACGTACTGCAGGCTGGCAGGCATGGGTAGCTTGAGCAGGGCAAGGGGCCACCTCAGTGCTCACAGGGAGAAGAGGCCACATGTCAGTGTGCTGTTGCTCCAGGTGGGGCCAGAGCTTCTCCAGGAGGTCCTCGAAGGTGGCTCAAGTCATGTGGAAGGTCTCCAACCCTTGGTCATCATTCCAAGTGTGCTGACAATGTGCAGCCACCAATCCTGGCTGGGCTGGTGGGCCCAGAGGTGGTGGGAATGGAGGCCCAGGATGGCTCTGGTGGCTCCAGCAGTTATATCCTGATGCCTGTTGGTGGTGCCCCTGCTGGGGTCCAGCCAGGCATATGTGGTGGAGGCAGCAGGTGTGTGGCAGAAGCCTGGCAGGTGGTCACTATGTGTGCGGGAGGCAGGAGGAGGGAGACAGCTGCGCGCCTGGCAGTGGTCAGCACAGTGGGCCAGCACGGCAGCCAGCAGAAGCCAAGGGCACTGTTTGTCACTGCAGGGTGGGAGCAGCCATAGAACTGAGAGGCATAGCTGGGGAAGAGAATGCTGCCATGTGCTGTCCCTGTGCTGTCCCTGTGCTCAGCACAGTGGTCCTGGCCATGGAAATAGCTGGCCACAGAGTAGCCAGCAGGGCTGCCTTTTGAAGATGGCTGCTAGCTGCTGGCAGCTGCAGCCAGAGCCTGGAGCTCCCCCTGGTGGCAGCACGGGCTCATTACAGAGCCCTGGGAAGTGAGAGCAGTGTGGCAGCAAATCTGCCTCTACTTCCCTGAGCATGTAAATGCTTGCCTGGCACCATTTAGTTGCAAGTAAACTTGTGCCACATCACATGCACATGTAGATGTGCTCAGTGGAGACCTCAAAAGGCTTTTCTTGGTGAAATAAAATTCATCTTCAATATCTTCCACCACAAGAAAAAGCAGATCAGACACTGGCATGCAAAGGGTCAGAAAATGAAAAGAGTCCTTTGCTTAAAGAAGTCTACCAGAAATCTCCATTAGGGAGGAAGGCTCTACAGAAGTTAGAACATGGTCAGGAAGACTGGCCAGATCTCCTTAGGGAATTGACCCCTAGAGCCTTGTTGCACATTACATTTATGACATGTTAACGACACTTAACATGCTAACATCTGAATATTCAAACAGTAAAATGCATGCGAAGTACCATCTTAACAAAATTTGGAGTTTTCTGATCAAGAGTATCTCCAGATGTTGTTACCTAATTAATGTTGTGATAACTTCTGACTGGAAGTAACATAATCAGGAGACTCCAGTGTAGGGAGAGGAGTTTGTTGTCCCAGCACCACCGCCACACTGAAGCCTTGAACTGGCCCTGGTACAGTGCCAGAGCTAGGGGCAATAAACAACTGTGTGTTGTTCCTACTCCCTACAGCACACCACAGCACTGGAGTTTTTGAGGGCTTCAGCACTTCAGATGCACTCTATTTAGATTATAGTAAACATTACCGTGAGACTACTCAGAAAACTTTCTAACCCATTGCAATTCTTACTGCAATCTAAATAAAATACAAGTGTTATAATTCAGTGTTAATCATTTAGAAGTTGTGATCTAGTCTTGTTTTTTTGTGAAGAAACGGAGATGTGGAGGGATGAAAGAGCCCTGGTCCTCCATACCCACTAGAGCATAAGGTTGTACTAGAGGGACAGTAATAAACACTGTGGCAGCATGCGTGTCCCTCCCTCACACTACAGTGACTGCAGCATCTGAAGGAGGAAGATAGGAGAGAAAAAACACAGCAAATAAATGTTGGCGAATAGAGACACAGAATAGGAGTGGGGAGATGTTTTATTAGGCTGGAGGGGTCTAGAGAAATGATAGCTTGCTGTTACATTTTTACAGAAGAAAAATAAATACAACTTCTGTGTATATGTAGACAGTATTAATAGTGTGCCAGAAATAGCATTAAAAATACACAGTATAGGTTTTGCAGAACCAGTGAAAACAGTTCTCATTGGGCATAGCTACACACGCTACTAATGTGCAGCCATTAATGTACAGCTTATTGCTCTGGAGTTTATTGTTCCCAAGAAGCTCCCAGACATGCTGTTTACATGTGCGCCTGGACCACAGCACATTGAGATGGATTGGAGCAGTCCCAGCTGCCAGCCCGGGGCTGCTCTATTCCACCCCTCCCTCCCCCAATATACGGGCTGGCTGGGGCACAAGGGTGCTTCAGTGTGGAGCTAGCCAGCAGGCAGCCCCCACACTAAAACATCCTTGTGCCCAAGCCAGCCCCAACAGTGTCTACAAGTGCACTGCTGTGCACAAAAAAATTCCACAGCACAGCAGGAATTGTATTTACAAGGACTACCCTGCTGTGGAGTTTATTAGTTTTGTGAGCCCTAATAGCGATGCATGTGTAGACACTGAGATTTTTACTGTAGAGCAAATTAATCAGCTCCATAGTAAACATCTCATGTAGACGCGCACATTGTATACTACATACGGCTCCAGGCACATAGGTCTTTTTATGAGGCTCATAACCATTGTAACAGCACTGCACTGGATTTCAGATAAATTGTTCTTTTAAGATGAGGTTTTAGAGGAAACTAATACTGCCAACGAATGGTGCCAGCTAGTGGCCCTTAATAAGTAGTTACAGAAGAGAACCAGAGTCTAATACATATGGCTGCCTCCAATGAATCAACAACCCTCCATCCTGTGTATAGAACAAGTAGAACTTTGTTTCTGCCTTTGCAATGAACTGTGTGGCAGAGTTGAACAGATATACCAGGGGAAATATTTTATGCCAAGGGCTACCATCTAGTCAGTTGTTTAAGGAAATATAATGATGCATTTTTCATTGAGGTCCAGTACGTTGACTCTTTATGATCTTCTGATCTGCTTTATCACAAAAGAAATGTTATAGTATGAACTATTCATTTGTCCACTTCTTTTTCAGGACCAGGACTTGCATTCATTGCCTATCCAAAAGCTGTCACCATGATGCCTCTTTCTCCACTGTGGGCAGCTTTGTTTTTCATGATGCTTATATTCCTTGGATTGGATAGTCAGGTATGAATCTGAATTCATGAATTTACATGAAAACATCATGTAAATATTACATCAGATCCTCAGCATGTATAAATTAGCATAGTTTCAGTGAAGTGAGAGGAGATATGCCAGTTTACAACTGAGAAAGATCATGGAGCTGGGCAGAGAACAAGCCTCCAGCCCGTTTCTCCCCCCGAGTTCCACAGTCACGGAGCTGGGCTGAGAACAAGTGGCCCAGCCTCCACCTGCTGTGCAGGGCTTCCCCAATCTACTAGTGGGGCAGCTAGAAGTGAACAGCCCCACTAGTAGATTGGGAAAGGGGCCTGGGACCAGCCTCTACCCCGCAGCCCTTTCTAAGTCTCCTGCCCCAGACTGGGGAGCCAAGGCCAGGTGCTTGCTGCTGCTGGGACAGGGGAACATTGTCCCCACCCCAGCAGCAGGCAACTGTCTCCTGGCCACATGCTCCCTGCCAGCCCCTAGGCTACCACCTGGAGGGAGCCTGGAGCTCTCCCCTGTTGCAGCAGGGTCTGTTGCAGGTCTGCAGGAAATGGTGCAAATCTGTTCTGTAATCTCTGCATGTATAGATGCCTGCCCAAAAATGCTTATTCCGGATTAATTTACACCAGAGTAAATCTAGGCCAGAGTCAATGAATGTGTAGACATGCCCACTATGTAGCATTGGTTAGGATACTTAACTTCCCTACGTCATTTTTCTCAACTGTAACATGAGTCAAACAAGCACTAACTATCCTCAACAGGCTTTTGAAGATGAGTAAGTTAATACACTTCTGAAGGCACAGGCAAGTTATTGTCTTTTTGTGTGACAGTACAGTGAGGGAGAAATTTCTGTGAGCACTTTGGAATGCCTCTACACTGTTTAAGTTAATGTAAACCCTGTTATGTAGACTATGAACTACATATGGCCTTGTGGGCTAGATCCAGGCGACAGAGCCATTGGAGTCCACCACTTGAGCCAGGGAGCTTTAGCTGCACTGCAGCTGGACATCAGGGAGGCTTTGTCTGCACTGCAGCCTACCATCAGGAAAAAACAGCAGTGAAAATAGTATGTCAGAAGTACTAGTCTGCTGGAGACCACAGCTGATTTCAGTCATCCCACTACTGAAGAAGCATGCCAGATATAGTGCTGGCCATCTGCTAGTACCAATAATGGTTTTTACCTTTTAGAATGTGGATACAGACTGAAAATCTAGGGAGTTTCAACTTCTGGCTCTGGGATCTTTTCCTTCTCAGACTTTTAGGATTTTCTTTATACAACATCCTCAAGGATTTTCAGTCTCTCTTTGATAGAAACACAGACGGGCACTTGATGAGTTCTATAGCAAATCAGAATCCCCAGAACAGAAGAGACATGTATTTTATTTGTACGTGTTGTTGTTTCTTCCAGTTTGTGTGTGTTGAAAGCCTTGTGACAGCTGTGGTGGATATGTACCCAAAGATTTTCCGAAGGGGATACAGAAGAGAACTGTTGATTCTTGGCCTTTCAATTGTGTCATACTTCATTGGCCTAATAATGTTAACAGAGGTAAGATACCCTGTGATTCACTTCAGAGCTACAGTCAAGTGTCAGAGAATCATAGAAGAATAGATCTAGAAGGGATATCAAGAGGTCATCTAGTCCAGCCCCCTGCTCAAGGCAGGATCATCTCTGGGTAAACCATCTCATGCAAGTGGTTGTCTAACATGCTGTTAAAAACTTCCTGGGATATAACTTCCACAACTTCTCTAGGTAATCTATTCCAATACTTAAACTAAACTCCTAGCAAGAAATTTCTTGCTAATACCCAATCTAAAATTTCCCTTGTTACAATATAAAACTGTTACCATTTGTCTTGTTGACTGTGTCAGCAGAGAATAGTCTATTCCCATCCTTTCTATACCCATTTTTCAGATTTTGAATGTCCTTTCAATCTTCTCTTCTCCAGTACTTCAAACCATTTCTCATAAATCACATTTCATGGACTCCTAATCATTTTGGTTTCTTTCGCCTCAACTCTATAACTGGTCTATATCTTTCTTTAAGAGCAGTGCCCAAAAATGGAGACAGAAATTTAGGAAAGGCCTCACCAGTACTGAATAGAGCATAAAAATCACTTCCTTGATTTGCCAGTAACACCCCTGTTAATACAGCCTACTATGCCACTGAACTTTTTTTGATAAAAGAGAACACTGTTAGCTTGTATGCAGCTTAGTGTCCACTGTAGCCCTCAGCTTCTTTTCCTCAGTACTGCAGCCTAAATAATCATTCCTCAGACTGTAATTATACATGCACCTTTGTCCTTATTGAATTTAATTTGATTAATTTTGACCATTTTTCCAGTTTTGTAAGGTCATCTTGAATCTAATCCTTTATTCCAAAGTTTCAGCAACTCTACCCAGCTTAGTTTCATCTACAAATTTACCAACTGTGTACTAAATCCTGTCTTCTGAATCACTAATGAAGATTTTAAACTGTAGTGGGTGCAGGACAGACCCTCAGGGAACCCCATACAATATCGCCTTCCAAATGGACATTCAGCCATTGAAGCCTACTCATTTAGCGTGATGACCCAACCCCTTATGTATCCATCTGTGACAGCACTGGGCCCCAGGGACAGCCATGACACTCTCTGGTGGCCACTCAACTCCTGCCCCACTATTGGTCCTCAGTTACCCCCCTTTTTCTCTTACATGCCACACCTTGATGGAATGACTTTTTGTATGCATGTGTTAAAGAGAGGGTTCCCCAGGTTCCCAGGGTGAGCCCTCTTTCATTTGGCGAGCAGGTCCCTCCTTCCTGTACCTGGCTGACTCCAGTCCTGCCACTCAAGGATGAAATTGGAGCCCTCCTGGCCCTGTCAGTGTCTTACAGCCTATTTATGACCTCCTTCCACCTCTCTAGCCACACCTGTGCCTCGCAGATGTTATTCAATGTTCATTTGGAGAGCACCTCAGCCTGTCCAGCCTTGGCCCCTTTATTCTGGTTGTGCCCTTCAGCCCAGGTCCACTGTCCTGGAACATAGCTTCTGGACCCCTGACTCCTGTCTTGTGCTCTGGGCCAACCCTCAGGCCTCTGGGTCCCCAACCCCAGGTTGGGCTGTTCTCCCTGTGGGTCTCCCAGCCTTGGCCCAACTCACTCAGTCCTTAGCTGTCTGGGTCCCTGACCCCAGGCTAAGCTGCCTGCCACCAAGTGCCCCACCAGGAACTTCTTTATAGCCACAACCTGGTCCTCCTCAAGCTCAAAAAAATAAAATAAATGCAAGCAAGCTGCTTAAGAAACTAGAAGTTTTCCCCACTCATAGATTCATAGATATAGGGTCAGAAGGGACCTTGCAGATCTTCTAGTCTGACCCCCTGCCCTGGGCAGGAGAGAAAACTGATGACCCCAGCTAGGTAATCGTCAAGCCTACTCTTCAAGATCCCCAAGGTAGGAGCCAGCACTACTTCCCTTGGAAGCTGGTTCCAGAGTTAATGCTGCCTGCAAGCCAGACCTCCTTTGAAGCCCTTTGATTCCACCTCCCCTGGGTGGCTTGGGTGCCTGTCTGTTGGTCTCTGGCAGTCCTTCTGTCTCAGGAGCTCCTTTCCCTGAAGCATACAGGGGGAGGGCCAGACTGCATGCTTGGCCTCAGGCACTGGACTTATGTGCACTGAAGCCCCACCCCCTCCTGTAAGGTGGCTCCCTAGCAATGTGCATGGGTTTCCACTTGGGCTTGATGACCAGCTTGCCATCCTCTGCTGCAGCAGCCAGCTGCTCTCACCTCTTAAAGTAACAGGGACTTGGACCTCGTTACACCACCTTACAATACTTTAGTCTAGTCTATAATTCCTTAGCTTACTAATGATGACAAAATGTCATCACAGATGGTGTCAAAAGCCTTGTTAAAGTCAGGTTGTAATGGTAAAGCACATCCAGTGCTCTCTTCCCATGCATATAGCTTGTCATCTTGCTGTAAAAGAAAATCAGCTTCTCAAGCATGACTTGCTCTTGGTGAATTGGTGCTGTCCGTTCCTGATCACCTTGGTATCCTGTAGATCAGGGCTGCCCAGCTTGTAAGTGGAAAGGAGTTGCAAGCTGCAAAATCTGCTCCAGTATGGGCCAGGTGCCCCTGAGGTCAAACACTGAGTGGGTGTATCACCCCTCTCCCGTACCACACTACGTACTGATGCTACACACTCCCCACTATGTTCAAGTCTTCCAGTGTCCATATTGTGCTTCTTTCCTTTCTTCTTTGCCTAAAGTTTTTGAATTATATCATAGCATCATCACTACTATTCAGATTGCCTCCCATCTTCACATTATCAACCAATTCCTCCTTGTTTATGAGCAGCAAGTCAAGAAAAGCTTCTCCCCTAGTTGGCCTCTCTTTCACCTGTACCAAAAAGTTATCTCCCCACCACCTTAACCACCTTCATCTTCACAGCAGTACTAAATCTTCCCAGTATTTGTGGTGCATGGCTTCACCTTTTTTACCAGTGGAGTGTAGGTCCTTCTTTTCTAGTACAAGGGCTTCATAGATGTTCTTTACTTGGATGGCTAGGGCCTCAGAGAAGGAATACTGTCTGCTGCCGGGGTGACAAACTACCAATTTTCTCTTTCCTGAGACTCCAGGTCTTCCTTGTTCTCCAGTGTGTTCTCTGGCTGACCCTCTTCTTCAGTCCTGCAGATCTTCCAGACCTTGTGGTCACAGATGTTTCTTAGCATAGCCATCTCTTCCTGCAGCCTCCTTACCTGGTTCCTGAGGGAATCCACCAGGAGACACGTCTCACACTGCAGGCACTCTCCCATCTACCTATCTTCTGCAGTGAGAACAGCAGCCTGTACTCCTTTTAATGGCACACCAGGACCTAGGTGGAAGCCTTTGTCCCATCTGGACACAGCCTGAACAGGTACAGGCAAAGGAACAGTTGGCAGTGGTGGTGGCTTTGCTGTTATGATGCCTTCCAGACATCTGGAAATGGGGGCATTTGTTCTGCTGGTATCTCCTAGAAAGGCCTTTTTCCTTTCTTGCCTGCTGCTGTTCAAGCTTATAGTGAAAAAATGCTGCAATGCAGTTTGGCAGCCCCCTCCCCCCCACTGCAAACTCAGGTAGATGACCTGTTGTCAGCAATTCTTGGATTAATGGGTGTGCAGCAGTTTTGAATGGTGACTTTATCTAAGACTGTATAGTCCACACAGCTGAAGCAAGCCATCCTTCTTTAGTTAAGAAAACTGGGTTCCTGGGTGGAGACATGGAGGGCCTAATGAACCCTTTTGGAGGTTCTCCTTGATATACTCCTTGAGGGCCTTGAGTTCTAGTTTGAGGAGGGATGTGTCCAAAAGGGATTTGTGTACCTGACACAATGTCAGTGGGGTAATCATATGAGTGATGTGGGGGAAGCTGGTCTTCCCTCTTCTTATCAAACACATCTGCCAGGTCCCAGTACTTTGCAAGGAGAAATAGGTCACTGACTGTCAGACTGGAACCCTCCAGTGGTGCAGGCTGAATTCCCTCTGCAGATGAAGTGAAGAGCCTAGCAGTTTGGGGCCTGATCCGCACCCTGACCTGGGACACTTCCTTGAAAACTTGTCCATCTACAGTAAACAGAACCAAATCAGAGTTCCCTCTGCCAACCACAGAATATTGAGGTTATGGCATGACAGCCAGGGTGTCCCCACAATGGTTGAAAAGTCAGGGGAATTAAATAAATAGAAAAAAAAAGGAGCTTCCAGTGTTCTCCTGTATTTCCAGGGAGACCATTTCCTGGGTCATGGGGCCCAGAGGGCAGGGTGAACTGTTCACTGACTGCTATATCAGCAGTCTGTTTCAGCCTAACTGTATGGCAAAGGCTGAGACCATAAAGGCCCTTGTGTCCAAGAGGGCCAGCTGGGATATGTCAGCTATAGTCAGATGCTGTAAGCAGAGAGGAACTAGCAAAGGGAATCTTAGTCTCTTGCAGTGATAGGGGTTCTGGTACACGTCAGAAGGGCTAAATGAAGAATAGGCAGCTGGCTTTGGTGTTGTGATTCCTTCCAGACATCTCACTGATTGTTCTTCTGCTTCCTCCTAGAAATTCCTTCTTCCTCCCAGCCTGCTACCCTCTACCAAAACTGGGCTGGTTGGTTTCCTGACAGTGAGCTGGAGGGACAGATCTGAGGAAAGTTCCCAGCCTCCTCACAGTAGAGGCAGAGACCTTCTGAATATCATTCCCCTTTTCTTTTGGGGACAGCCTCTTTCTTATTGTCTCTATCTGCATCGGCTCCACTAGTAGTAGTGTAGACGCTTCTGGGTTTCTGGAAGGTCCTAGAGGCTGGGGTGTGGCCCACTTGTTTTACTGATGTTCTGACAGAAGAACAGCAATATGAATATAAAATTCAGTAAGCCCGTCCAGGGTTGGCAGAAGCTCAACTTGTGCTAGCTCATCCTGGATATCCTCATGGAGCTCCTGCTGTAAATGAAAGTGCTGAGCTGCCATATTCCATTCTATATCTGTGGGTAGGTGCCTAAATTCATCAGCATAAATGGACACAGAGTGACAGACCTGACTTGTGTATTTCACCATGTATGTCATGCACGGATCCCCAAAGATTCCAGCTATTACCTCGATAAAGGCTTGAGGACTCCAAGAGCAGGGAGACCCAGGATAGGGCATGTCAAGTCCAGAGACCAATTATCAGCCCCAACCTGGCAACATCTGAGGTTTATGTTCTGTGGCACAATCAGAAAGCTAGGCAGCATTGATTAATGAATCCCCAGAAGCCACAGGGGTCCCCATTGAATTTATCTGGTAGGGGAATCTTAGGTTCATGGTTTGCTGGAGGGACTAGTTGAACAATTAAACCTGGGAGAGGGGTGCTCAGGGCTTTCAGGGCTGCGATTGGGCTTCCAAATCTTGCACTGCAACCAGTAGTTCAGCCCCAGAGATATGACCCGGTGGCTGGTTCATCCTGCCACAGTTTCACCAAGTTATAAATTGGCAGCTGAACAAGCTGTCAGAGTCCACAGAGGCATTATGCCTAGTAGTTAGAATGGGGAAGCATTACCAGCATCTGTAGTCAGGGGGCAAGCTGAGGTCAAACCAGGGCTCATGCACAGGCATAACCAGAAGTGATTGTCAGGAAGACAGTCAAGATCAAACTGGGTTCAAGCAACATAGGCAGTGATACTGGAGTCACACAGGCAAGAGCTAGGCCTGTGTGAAGCGACTAGTATTCGCTTCAGATTCGGATTCAGATGATTCAAGGGACAGTGATTTGATTTGATGATTCAAATCACTGTCCCAAATCAATTCAACCAAATCTGATTCAGAGACTTGGCAGCTGCCGAATCTCTGAATCACTTAGACCCATCCCCCACCCACTCTCCCAGACTGGCAATGGCCGCACTGCCCGCCCCAGCTCCTGGCACTTGGGGGGGAAAAAAGCCCCAGTTCACTGGGTGCTGCTGGGTGGGGGGGCAATCTCTGCTGTCCCCCACTGCCCCACAATGCAAGGGGAGCTCTGCATGAGCCCCACAACCCCCCCTGCTCCCCCAGTCCCCCCCCATGGCTGCCCTGCCTGCCCCAGCTCTGGCCCTTTAAAAACAAAAACAAAAATGAGAAATCCCCTGGACTCACCTTTCTTGCCCAGTGGGGATGATCTTCGCTGCCCCCCACTGAGTGGGGGGCTATTTCATGAGCCCCCTGAAGCCCCAAGGTCACTGTAGGTACAGTGAGTCCCAGGCGTTTTCTTGGGTTTTTCTCTTTTTAAAATGACCAGAGCTGGGGCGGGCAGGGCAGCCATGGTCGGGGTGGAACATTGTGAAGAGCATCAGGGGGCTCATGCAGAGCCCCTCACACAGCATGGGACAGTGGGAGGCAGCAGGGATTGTCCCCCCACCCCAGCAGCCCCTGATGAATGGGGCTTTTTTGAAAGCACTGAGAACTGGGGCAGGCGGGGCAGCTGTGGGGGGCTAGAGCAGGCAGGGATGGGGCCTAGCAGGGGTCCCCCCATGGTTCCCTTCCTGCTCCTCCAGCCCCTTACTTACCAGCTCTGAGTCCAGCTGCAGCTCCCTGCTGCTGCCACCAGGGGCTGTCCAAGGCATTGAAGCTCTCCAAATCTTTTCTGAAGATTCGGAGAGTTTTGAATCAATTCAGACCATTTAATTGGTCCCCTGATTTGATTCGGAATCAGAGATTCGACCACCAAATTGGGCTGAATCTCCTCTGAATCGAATCAACACCCGAAGCGTCACACAGCCCTAGCAAGAGCTACACACATACTGAAGCCAGTTTGTGGCACAGCAGGACCCAAGTGCTGCAAGAGCTCCTTAAAAGCATCCCTAAAACCAATCAGCCAGCTGAGGCTCAGGTGGCCTTTCTGAGGAGGTTGAGTGTTACTGACCTAGTTACTCAGTTGCAGGGCAGAGGCCTTGCAGAATCAGACAAAAGTCACCATTTAAGTAAAAGTACAGCATAGTCCAAAAAATGTTCTTAGCTTTTATTCAACATTTGAAAAACAGCACTGATTGACAGATAAACTTGGTAACTATTTTAGCCAGTGATTCATAGGCATGGAAATGCCAAAGACTCTATACCATCCCTCTGCTCATCCCATCATTTCTCTCCAGACACTCTATGCTAATCCCATCTGATACGGTATTTTGATATTGGCAGCCATCCCGTCTGGTATCAGAGCAATGGTGAATATACCAGTAAAGAATGTCTGGTAAAACTAAAAAGAATATTGGTGATCATTTAACTTTCACTTAAAAACATCAAAAGAAGACCTCAAGAAGAATAAAAATACAGATACAAAGGTCACCTATACATGTGCCAGATGTCTGCTCTGATACATGCCAATTAGCACACAACAGAGCAGACTCAATTAATTAAGTTTGCTGGAGCATGTTAATTAATGCACTCCAGCAGTCTCCGCTTCTTGTCTATTCAGCATCACCATGTTTCAAAATGGCAATGGAGGCATTTTAACTAAAGCCCATCAAACAAGCTTTAGTTCAAGTGCTCCTCCCACCATTTTGAAATGCAGGATACTCAATACATGTGACACTGCTGGCACTTAAATTAAAGCAGCTATCAGAGCCATTCAGATTAAAATGCCTCTCCCCTCCCACCCTGGAGCTTGTATATAAACACCCAAAATGGATAACACCTGGCTGGATGGCAGCATTTCAGAGAGGGAGCTAAAAGTCTTGGAAGATCAGAAACTCAGTAAGAGTCTATAGTGTGATGCAGCTGCACAAAAGGCAAGTGCAGATAGAAGCATTAGGTGCAAGACATGGGAGGTGATAGTGCCTCTTTACTCAACGTTGGTTTGGCCTCATGTAGAGTATTGCGTGCCATTTTGGCTGCATATTTTTAAAAGGACATGGAGAAGTTAGGGTTCCAGAAGTGAGCAACAAAAATGATAAAGGACTTGGAAGGCAAGTCATCCAAGGAGAGGCTGAAGGAGCTAGGGATGTTCAACTTGTGGAAAAGGCACTTTAGAAGTGAGATGATAACAGTCTTCAAATATCTAAAGGACTGCCATAAAGAAGAGAGAGAACACCTCATACCATTGGGTTAAAGTTGCAGCAAAGTATGTTTAAATTGGATATCTGGAAAAACTTCTTCACTGTTAAAACAGTGAGGCTGTGGAATAGACTGTCTAAGGAAATTTCAGGAAGTGGTTGGATACAAATTTGTCAGAGATGATCTAGGAGGAGCTATGCCTGTGGTGCTCTGTAAAGAACAATAGACAGATTGCTTGGAAATAATGAGAAACACTCTTCAGCCTATAGCAGTTAGATATTGGAGAGAACCATGCTCAGCAGCAGGAGAATAAAGCAAAGATCCACAACAGGCTTAGGTTGAAAGAGCATTAAAGGAGCTGGAATGATTTTACAGAGGAGATACAGAAAGGGAAGCTCAGGCTGTCCAGTAAGAAAGTGTGATGTGTGGCATTATTCTTGCTGTCTCCAGATTGAAGCCAGAATATAAGGTGTTTATTTTTAACCTGTGTTTCTGGGATGTCCTTATTGCCATGTAGAATAGGGATGAAATGTTTTTCCTCCTGCTGCTACAGGTGCTGGGGAGGAGGAGTCAGGGGCTGTGCCTTCCTCAGCAGCTTTGGGTGGAGGGTCAGATTGATCACCACATTTGGGATCAGAAAGGAATTTTACCTCATGGTCAGAATGGTAGGGACTTTGTGGGAGGGGTTTGTCTTCCTCTGTTAAATTGAATGGATGACCATAGGTGGTGGAAGGAGGATGCTAATTGGGCTTAGCCCCCCCAAATCTGGGGCAGTGGTAGGGCTGCAAGGCAGCCTGGCCAAGGGCTTCTGGCAGCTGCAGCAGGGGCGGAGAGGGAGTGGGGCTGGGGATGGGGCTAAGGGAGGGGCAGGTACTGCACAGCCAGTGGGGTGCAGGACTGAGCCACGAGCAGCTTGTCTGGAGGGGGTGGCTCCTGCTACACCCCAGGAGGCATGGTGGGCATATGCCCCTGCATTTGCGTGGGGCAAGACAGGGTGCTGCTGCAGGCTGGGGCCAGGGCTTTGGCAGCAGCACTGGGAGGGGGTTACGGGATGGGTGCAGCCACCCCAAAAGTAGCCATAGCCCCCCCCAAGCAGCAGCCCACCCTGACCCACACAGATCCAGAGGCACATGCCTCCTGGGATGCATGCAGCGGTGGGAGTTGCTACCCCTCTCCGCGCACTGAGATGAGCCACGGCTTCATCCTGTGCCATAGGGTGGGTGCAGGCATCCCAAGGGCTCTGTCCCCTCCAGCCCAGTGGCAACCAAGGCTGGCCGCACTCTGGCCTTTGGATCCGGGGCCCCCCTGGGCAGTGTGGGTGTGGGGCTGGGGCTGGTGTGGGGAGGCAGCTGGGGCCAGTGCAGGGCTAGGGGGTGGCAGATTCATTAGTAGGGGGAGTGTTGGGAATAACCGCAGGCGTGGGGAAACAGGGGCCATACAGGCACAGCGGGCCCTGGCCCCAATTCTGGCTCTGCTCCCCTCCAATACATCCCAGTTTTTTTCAGTGGTTAAAAGCTTGGCACAGTGTCAGTGAAATTTAAAATACAGTGGAATTATAAAAGTATTTCAGACGTACCACTTTATCTTCACAAGTTGAACTAAAATGCTGCTCATTTCTTCTGGTCCTCATTCCCTATCCCTTGCTTTGATGTTTTCTGTCTTAATGAAAATATGCAAAATATAACAGGTCAAGGGAATCTTGTAAAAGAGAAAAGAGGCTTCACAATGGCAAATTACCTTCATATCACAGTCCCTTACTACTGAAGGAACCCATTTTGATGGGGAGACTGTCAGTGAAATAATAGATTGACTGGATTAAAATCATACTTATGCAAAATATTTCATATTATGTAAAATATTCTCATTGGGCATCAGTTATCTATTTCAGTTTCCTGTTTTATTTTTTGTTTTTTTTTAAAGGGTGGAATGTACGTTTTCCAGCTGTTTGACTCCTATGCGGCTAGTGGAATGTGCCTTCTTTTTGTTGCTATATTTGAATGTATCTGCATAGGCTGGGTTTACGGTGAGTTACTAAATACTATTATGTTCCATCTGTATGAAAGTTGTTCACTTGTTCAGAGCCTAATTTAGGCAGTGCAGGGCCTCTGTCACACCATGGTCCTTAGAGCTCCTAACACAACTCTGCCTCTTTACCTTACCTTCCACTAGGATCAGCACTGTCAGGAGCAATCTTTTCCCTTCCAAACAGATAGAAACAATGGCATGGGCTTTTTCCCCTCCCCACATTCCCCTGCCCCCCACCTCTCAGAAGGGGCAGCCTTAGTGTTCACCTGGAACCCCTCAGGGGGCATGTCTCCACACAACAATGTATTACTGCAGAGAAGACTAATTTGCTGTGCAATAAAGCATCATTGTCTACATATGCATGGCAATCAGGGTGCAGTAAATCAATTTACTGTGCAGCTGGATAGTCCTGTCAAATACAAATGGTACCCAACAGTGCAGTAAAGTACTACACTTAAATGCATGTGTAGATGATGACACTGAGATTATCCTACTCTGGCTCAACTTAGTTTACTCTGGCTTAAAGTCATGTCTACACAGACATTTGATCCGGGATCAGTTTATTTGTGAGTGAACTACTCAAAAGTATACAGTCCTGGACAGGTGTCTGCACATGCAGGGAAGTGGAAGAAGATTTGCTGCTAATGGCAGCAAACTACTGCCACTTCCTGGGATCCTGCAATGGGCCCCGCACATCACCAGGGTGTGCTCTAGGCTCCCCCTGGGTACTAGCCCAAGGGCTGACAGGGAGCAGAGAGCCAGGAGACAGTTGTCTCCTAGCCAGGGCTGAGACATTGCTCCCTGTCCCCTGTGAGCTGCCTGCTGCTGAGGTCGGGACAATGTCTCCGTGCCCCAGCAGCAAGGAGCACTTGGTCCCAGCTCCCCTATCAGGGCAAGGGACTTAGAAAGAGCTGCAGGGGAGGGGCAGGTCCCAGCATTGTGCCCCATGTGCTGGTGTAGCAGCTAGCAGCTAGCTCACTGCTCTTTGCCCCACTTGTGAATTGGGACAGGGGACTTGGATGTGCCCTATCCCTGCAGCTCTTTCCAAGCCCCCTGCCCCCTGCCTCAATCACCTGATATGGGTACTGGGCTGGGGCCTGCCCCTAACTGGGACAGTTCCCAGACCCCACTCCATGATAGTTAGGCAGGGGCTAGGGTACCTGTTACCCACTCAATCCTAAGAGTGTGGAGCTGGGCAAAGACAAGGCTGGATAACCTGTTCCTCACAGCTCCTATAGTGCAGAGCTGGACAGGGAACAGGCTGGGGAGCCCATTCCCCACCCAGTTCTACGTTTATGGAGCTAAGCAGGGTATAGGGTCTCCAGCCTGTTCCCCACCCAGCTCTGCAATGACAGAGCTGAGTAGGAAACAAGATCCCCTGCCCCTGCCAGCAGGGAGCTCCCAGTGCCACCCTGGCCATGGGACTGGCACTGGGAGATCCTAATTTCCCAGCCCAAGCTCTGCAGTCACAGGGCTTGGGCTGGGAAACCCTTGTCTCCCAGTGCCAGCTCCATGATCATGGGGCCATCTCTGAGAGGGTCTTATCTCCCAGCCTGAGCTCTGCGGCCACGGGGCTCGGGCTGGAGGACCCTTAGCTCCCAGGGCCAGCTCTATGGTCATGGGGCTGGCACTGGGAGATCCTTATAAGGATAAGATAAAGATAAAGATCTCCTAGCCCCCCTGTTCCCTGATTGAGATCTCAGAGTGGTGGGCTTAGTGATCCCTGCTGCTGGGGAAAGAGGATATAGTCTCTGCCTAGGCTCCAGTGGCAGAGTCTGCCCCAGCAGCAGGCAGCTCCCAGGGGCAGAAAACAATATCCCAGCCCCCTGGTGGCCAGCTGACCAGGAGCAGATTTGCTCTGCACCAAGTCTCTGCATGAATGCTACTACACCATTACTAATCAGAAGTAAATTTCCTACTTGCATTTGCAGGTAGCAAATTTACTTGCAATTAGCAAGGTTTATTTCATCTTGGAGGAAGGGTAGCAAAAGGGTACAGCAACCCCTTTGACTCAGCAGGGAACTTGAGAACCTCCTATGCCTCAAAAGAGAGACTTATAAAGGATGGAAGGCTGAAAGTACCACCAAGGAGGAGTACTCGGCGCTGGTCCATACCTGCAGGGAGCGGATCAAGAAAGCCAAGGCTGCAACCAAGTTCCATCTGGCCACACATATCAAGGATAACAAAAAGTCCTTTTTCAGATATGTAGGGAGTCAGAAAAGAAGCAAAAGTAACACTGAACCCCTGCTGAACCAAACGGGACAACTGATAACTGACACTAAGGACAAGGCCAAGCTGCTCAATGAGTACTTCGCGTCAGTCTTTCATCAGTCCAATGGGACCACCCCGCCTAGCAAAACACAGGATGGCCAGGGTGAGGGCGTATTTATATCCAGCATTGGTGTTGATCTAGTAAAGCATCACCTCAAGAGGCTGGACACCTTCAAGTCAGCTGGTCCTGACAGATTACACCCTAGAGTACTCAAGGAGTTGGCAGGTGCCATAGCCCAACCATTGGCAAAAATATTTGAAAGACTGGAAGAAGGCCAATATGGTACCCATCTTCAAGAAAGAGCAGAAAGTAGATCCTGGGAATTGCAGGCCAATCAGCTTGACCTCAATCCCCAGTAAGGTTCTGGAGAAAATTATCAAGGAGACCCTTCTGGATAAGCTGGCTGAAGGGATAGCCAGCATGGGTCTGTCATAGGTAGGTCTTGCTTGACCAGTCTCATCTCCTTCTGTGACCAGGTGACATACCACCTGGACAAGGGAGAAGATATTGACGTCATACTCCTGGACTTTAAACAAGCTTTTGATCTGGTGTCCCATGACCTCCTCACAGAAAAATTGGCCAACTGTGGCCACAGCTTCACCACAGTCCAAGGTCAGACCCAGAGAGCAGTAATCGATGGTAGCGAATCATCGTGGCTCTCCATAACTAGTGGAGTCCCCCAAGGCTCTGTCCTTGGACTGCTTCTTTTTAACATCTTTATCAATGATGTGGACATTTGTGTCAGAAGCACACTGGCTAAGTTCGCCGATGACACTAAACTTTGGGGCATAGCATCCACACCTGAGGACAGGCTAGTGATCCAGGCTGACAGACAAACTTAGTAAGTGGGCAAATACAAACCTGATGACATTCAATATTGATAAATGTAAGGTACTCCACCTCAGGAGAAGAAACCTGCAGCATGCGTATATGCTCAGCAGTGCTACGCTTGGTAGCACCACAGCTGAAAGAGACTTGGGGGTCATGAATGACCACAAGATGAACATGAGCCACCAATGCAATGTTGCAGCTGGCAAAGCAAACAATACTGTGGCTTGCATCCATAGATGCTTCTCATGTAAATCTCAGGATGTCATCCACCCACTGTACTCAGCCTTGGTGAGGCCGCAGCTGGAGTACTGCATCCAATTCTGGGCTCCACAATTCAAGAAGGATGTTGAGAAGCTTGAGGGAGTCCAGAGGAGAGCCACACACATGATCAGAGGGCAAGAGAATAGGCCTTATGAAGAGAGGCTGAGAGGCATGGGACTCTTCAGCCTGGAAAAGCACAGGCTCAGGGGGGGACCTGGTGGCTGCTTATAAGTATGTAAGGGGTGTACCTCAGGATCTGGGAGAACGTCTGTTCACCAGAGCGCCCCAAGGAAAAACAAAGACCAATGGTAATAAACTCCTCCAAGACTGTTTTAGGCTGGACATAAGGAAAAATTTCTTTACTGTTCGAGCTCCCAAGACCTGGAATAGACTCTCTCCAGAAGCAGTGCAGGCACCTACTGTGGACTCATTCAAGAAGCGTTTG